AATTGGTGTAACCATAATTTGGGATGACTCTTCCGAGGTTCTACTTACAGCTGCTAGTTAGGTTATGCCGCGCACTTTGCAAGTAGGATATCTACACCTCTAACCCAAACTAGTATTCATGAGCTCACATGTAACCCGAAATCTAAACCTCATTCTCACAGGTATTTGGGAGAGCTTGAATATGTCCTCAAACCAACCCTTATCCCTTAGCCATAAATCTTCAACCCGAAGCCCCTAGCCCTGAGCCCTCAACGCAAGAGACAAAGCTCTTCACCCAAAGCGTTACATTGTAAGCCCTAAGCCCAGAACCATGTATCCTACATGCCTCTACAATATGTTCCTATATATCTCTTTCTACCCCTGCATATCCCTATATATACATCCCTTTGCATCCCTTACGGCCCTAAATAACCCTACATAACCGTGTATACCGCTACATATACTTATAGATCCGTATAGGTCACTGCATATCTCGACATATCTCAACCTATCCTAATATGCGACTACACATCCCTATATATCCCTACATATTCTGATTTTTCCTTACATGCCCCTGCAAATCCTCATGTCCAAAGCCTGATGGCAGAACCCAGGCGGCGGCTCCTGAGTGGATGCACCCTGGCAGCCACATAGTTTAGGGCTCAAGTGAGCCTTTGCTATTATTTGTATAATAATCATGACTTTTGTTACTATCATCAGTATTATAGTTGTTAATTACAAGTATTACTGCAGTATTCGTGTGATTATCCTGTTTTTTTTGGGTGTTTCCACTAACCAGGCGTCTTTTGGGTGCTCTACAGGGTACATAGGGGTTATATGGGCGTAAACATACCGATGTCCTATTGGGATATACAAGGCTATGGAGAGCTTACTTAGGGCTTCCAAAAACCATTCATGAAGATGGAAGTTATCATTTAGGAGGACCCCCCACCCTGTAAGAGTGGTATAATAGGAATACAAGAGGACCCTAATATAATCCTTATTATCTTTTTATAGTCACTATTACAGGGTGGGGGGTCCACCTAAGTTATCATGTTATCTGCGCAAGACGATAGTTCCTCAGAAGAGGCTTCCTATCATGGTGACAGGAAAAGGAGGAGAATTCTTGGGCAGACCTGCGTCCCACATCAATTGAAGCAAAGTTCAACTCCTAAACTTTGAGCCCTAAACGCTAAACCCTCAACCCTAAAGTCCTAAGCTCACGTAAATCCTAAAACAGTCAAGGACTGCAAGGCCAACATATGAGGAGGAATTGTCAGCACTTCAATAGGGCGCCATTGTGCGCGTAGCTTCTGCGTTTAGGGTAGACGCGTGAGGGCGCCCAGCTTCCGGAATTGCATTTCCCGTGCTCCATGCAGACCGCGGTCCCTTCAGAAGGGCTTGTGTGGAAGGCAGCTTCTCAAAACGATCCTTCTATGGAGGGATGCTTATCAAGCCTCTGCTGTGGTGATCTTTATCTCCAGAGTCCCCAATGCACACCCTTGCACAAGAGCTTCCCAACTGCCCTGACCTGAGGAAATGGCAGGGCATCCAATGGCAGAAGGAACCCGAAGAAGAGCTGCCGGTCCTGCGAGAGGACTGGTCAGAGCTGTCGGGGCTGTGCTTCAAGATCGAGCAGGGGTTATCTTTTGCTTCTCCTACGAGTAAGTACACTATCCATTAGGGTCCCAGGGGAGTTTTGGAAATCATGACTAGGGGTTTGGGCTTCGTATATGAAGTATGGTGTATGTTAGGGCCACCTCAATCCAAAACCCTAAAACTTTAAATCAAACATCTTCTGGCAGCCGCCTAAAGGCACCTGACTTGAAGACCTTCTAGCGGTATGAGTCTAGTTCAAGACGCAGTTTAGTGCTCACAACCTCGCGCAATGCACTGTAGGGTTTGTTTTGGGGTCAGCTAGGGCTACTTCATTCCCCCATCCCTGCAAATCATCAGAAACCCAGAAAGTGAATTTCAGGAGCGGGAAGTGACCTACGCGGCACCAGCTGTTGTCCAGGAGCATTCCAAGAGTTCTCGGACTTTTGAGATACTAGCAAGCCGTGGCTACTGTTTGGGGTTAGGCTTTTGGGTTTCAGGATGTAGGTTCAGAGTACGGGGATTTGGCGGGAGGTATCTCGAAATCTGAGACATCTTCAAGACCCATTGTCATAGGATTTCGGCTTACTGCGTTTATACACATGTAGACAAAGTTCACAGAACAACCCAACAAGGAGCTTGATTGTTCAGAGGACCTTTATTCTTCTGATCGAGAACTGTACCAAGCTTTTCGCAGCACAGAGGCATGTCTCCTCCAAATCGAAGCCCCTTAAACCCTTCAAATAGATAGCCGAAGAATTTAAGGACCAATGTTCTAGTCCTGGGTTTAGGGTTTAGGGTTCCTTGTATAGTTATGTTAGATGGGCTACAGGATGATATTGGCAGTTATGAAGGCTTCTACAGTGTAGCTCAGCAGCATGTAGCTGTGGGGCTTAATGTGCAGGATGTCCGCGGCTTCTACGACTTCTGTATGTTTTTCAAGGGCTGAAAAAGGATTCTGAAGGGCTTATGACCCTGTGGATGCTAGACATCCTGCAAGACCTTAGGATACTATATGAGCCACAGTCTAAACTCCTTAAAGGGGGACATATAGGGGATCATATTATGGGGGTACTATAGGGGCTATTAAGGGGGATACTAGGAGTTTAGACTATAGCTCACGTCTTCAGAATCCCCAAGGCATAAGGTACTTGGGGTCATCCGCTGTCAGTAAAATGCTGGGTTTCGCCACTCACCCCATGCTTTTATGCGTACAGGCCTCCAGCATCCTGCAGGAAATCCAAATAGGCTGGAAATTCCGCTTAACTCCTAAGCCCTACATGAAACATGAAGCCCCAACCCTAAACCGTGAACCCTAAACCATTTCCCCACGCCCTAGGACTGAACATGCAATCTGGGCCTACACCTTACAGCCTCAAACCGACGCTTGGGTTTAGGGTTTAGGGTTCAACAAGTTCTCAGACCTACTTGCCCTTTTCCAGGTTTTGACCTGAAACCCTCAGTGATCAATCGTTTTAGGAGTTTCCCAAAATGGGGGGACCCCAATGTAGACCCCAATATACTATATTCCTTATACCTTGAAAGGTACACACACAGACATATATAAAAATATCTGTATACACCCCTCAAATCCCCAAGCCCCAGTATGGCTTGCCAAATGATAGTACCCTACTTCACACTGGGCGGTTTAGGGGTTTAGGGTCTAGGGGTTCAGGGTTTAGGGCCTAAACCCTAAACCCTAAACCCTAAACCTTAAACCCTAAACCCTAAACCCTAAATCCTGAGAACACAGCCTGGAGGATCCTTAGGATGCAGTAAGGAGGTGAATAATGGGGAAAACTGGGGTTAATGCATGGCCTATAGCGGCAATTAGCCTACTTACTAAGTCTACTAAGTCCACCTGACCCTAAACCTTAAACCCTACCTATTTACTAAAATGCCCTGATTCTCCAAGCAACAAAATCTGAATCTGGTGGCGGCTTCCTGTAATTTCGTGGTGCGTGGGGGAGACCCTTCAAACACTTATGCCCTCAACACGGTTTAGGGTTTAGGGTCCTACTGTTGATGCTAAAAAGCTTGCATGACCCTAAAGACCCTAAATTTGGGAACTATGGTACTATGCTATACTGGCGTCATGCAGGACTTTTAGTATCCACCCTAGGTTGCAGAGTGTGGGGTGTAAGTTGCATGGTTTCGTGTTGAGGGTGAAGTGCTCAAATTCCCGAGACCGAGGCATTTTCAGAAATTGATTCTGCAGACACCCTTTAAGCGCACTTGGAGGGTCCGGGGTTTCCATAATTCCACTGCTTACTATTACAACGTCCCCAGACCCTCCAAGTGCCCGCCCAAACCCCCAAACCCTAGACCCTAAACCCTAGACGCCCTCTCAAAAACACTCAAAGTCCTAAATCCCAGCAGGAGGAGTTCGTGTCCCTAAACCCGAGACACTAGACCCTAAACCCTTAACCAGGAGGAGTTTGTGTACATGCCCATCACCGTGCCCACCCTTCCAGAGTCGGGCTTCGACCCTCTGGCGCTGGCGGGCGAGGCCCAAGAGGTGCGGTAAGCAGAAAAGCTGATGGGAATTGGGATGATATAAGGGTTTAGGGTTTAGGTTTTAGGGGTTTAGGGGTTTAGGGGTTTAGGATTTAGGTTTTAGGTTTTAGGGGTGTAGGGGTTTAGGGGTTTAGGGTTTAGGTTTTAGGGTTTAGGTTTTAGGGGTTTAGGGGTTTAGGGTTTAGGTTTCAGAGTTTAGGTTTTAGGGGTTTAGGTGTTTAGGGTTTATTGTTATGTAGGGATAATGGAAAGGAAAATGGAAACGATTATAATGGGATATATAGGGATTATAGTGTGTATATATATATATAACTCTAGGCTGTATGGGTTTCGGTGTGTATGTAGGGCATCTTCTAGGGTTTACATAAGGTGTAGGGCCTTATTGTAGGATTGTACGGGCTCATGTCGGGTCTAAGTCGTCTACGGCCGTATATAGGGGTTAAAGAAGGATTTAAGGGGCTGAGGGTGAGTGTTTGGGGTTTGATGTTCAGATTTCGAGGCCAAATGGCAGGGGGAGGAGGATTTCTCTCAAAGTTTGTGTCCATTCTTGGATTCTGGAGGTTTGGGCCGCAAACATGCGCGCCAATCTTGCTGAGATGGGAAATTCAAAAAATGGCCGCCAGACGAAGAGTTGTAAGAAGAATGGCGGCGATGGGAATATTCTTATTAACCACTAGAGCATTACTGTTACTAGTAGTACTATGACTACCTCTATTATCTCTATTGTTACCATTATGACTGACAGTGGTATTCAGTGTTGATTGCCAGAGTTGCTGCAACCCTGGTAACTGTGCGATACAAGACAGATGCAAGAACAATGACGTTTAGGGTTGGGGATGGTTGGGGTCTAGGGTTTATAGCCACATGGTGGAGCTCCTTAAAGTGGCTAGCATCGTGCGGGCCCTTACATGGTCGCTCCATGCAAGTCCGTACATTACAGAGCAAACCTTCCTGATGGCATCAACGGCCCTGCAGGTTGTGGAGTCCAACATGTCCTCCCTCAATGGCCAGGCCGGCAGGAGGGGGTTTAGTGTTTACGCCTTGAATTTGGGCTAGTCATAGTGTTTATGGCAAGTGTTCTGAGCACTGCTTACGACAGCCGTGGTGTTCAATGCTTCATTGCAGGCACCAGCACTAGTCCCTCACAGCATGTTGGCATGCACCTGTAACTGCATCATGCCCATTTGGTCATACCTGTCAGTTTTCAAGCAAGCATTCCGTCCACCCAAAGCCTAAACTCTCAGCTCCTGTCTGCTACTGTTACGAGCTGCCAGGTCATTGTCAACTTTGCTACCAGTGCGGTCGAGGAATTCATGCTGGCCCAGCGAGAGCGTGAGGAATACAAGGCCAGTATCATATGAATGTTCACAACTGTCCTGCATGTCGCCGCTCTGGCTGGGTTTAGGGTTTAGAGGCTGCGAAGACCGCATGGTTGGGAATGGAGTGATGTAAGCACTCTGGAAGTTCGGCGGCATCTTTTCAGAGATTAGAAATGCACTAAGTATGAGCCTTACGAGGGGATTCATTGGGTGCGGAGCTCACGCAAGGCAGAAGGTCCTGGTGATTTTGGAGAGCGCTTATGTGTCGTGATTGAGGTTCGCAAGAACTTGAAGACAATACTCACTCAAGGTGCATTGAATGCTATGGCCTGAGGAACACATGTTGCATGATCCCGCACATCCGTCGTTTGTTGGCTCTCAGGTATCTAGCTCTATAGGACTAAGGTTCCAAGGATTCAAATAATGTGATCTTATTTCCCAAATACCATTCAGATTATAGTATTTGGGCCTTCAACTTGGACCCTTAGGGTAAGTCTGGTTGTAACCCTAGTTTCCATATCATTTACCTTGTCCTTTTCCATTTGATTTTTATCCATCATTCTTGGGGTAGTATCCTAAACCCTTAACCCCTAAGCCCGCCCCTAAACCCTAAAAACCACAAAGCCCTAAACCCTAAATCCCAAAAACCTGCAACCCTATATGGTAGTTGCCCAAAATAGGAGACCCCAATATAACCACCCAAAATCTAGTAATCCTTCTTATGGGAACCCCCAAAAAAGGTACCCCTATTTTTTGGGAAACCCCC